GTTACTAGTAGCTTTTTGTTACTACCAGTAAGGCACCTGTTACTACTTGTTTCTCCTCTCACCTTTTTGTGCCAAAGAAATTCCGCTCGAGTTCCGCCTCGCCGTCGTTCACGCTGGGGTCGCCGTTGTTCACGACACGGCGGTAGACCCAGGTGTCCTGCGACCGTGTTGAACGTCGGATGTCAAAGCATCATGAGCACTAGTAGCGATGCCTCCTTGCTCCTAGTAGCGTCCTTGCTCCTAGTAGCGTGGCACTTGTTACTACTAGTAAGGCACTTGTTACTACTAGCGTGGCACTTGCTCCTAGGAGAATTTTGTTTGCTAGTAATTACAAGTGCCTCGCTAGTAGTAACAGGTGCCTTACTGGTAGTAACAATGTTTGCTAGCAATTACAATTAAATTCTTATTGTTACTAGTAGCGAGGCACTTGTTCCTAGTAGTAAGGCCAGGAGCCCCGTTCGTTCGTAGCGTTCTTGTTCCTACTATTGAAAGAAGGAAAAAGGAAGGTCTGAAGTCACTTCTAGGCTGGAGGCCATGGCTATTAGGCTGGAGGCCATTGCAACAAAGTTCTGCAGGTTCTGCAGAAGACACGTAGCATCGGGTCTGGCAGATTGGTCAATGAGTATCTGTCCATCGTTGTTTGTGCCGGTCTTGATCTCTTTGGATCTTTCATTCTTCTTTAGACCTTTTTCAAAAGACTATTTGTACACTTATTTAAAACACTATTTATACATATTCTTTTCTTCTAATCGTCTTGAGCTGTTATCTTCTTGTTTCATTCTCTCTTGCTTGGGCCTTTTATTCTTATTGATTTCCTTGATTATATTTAAGACAATTGCTTCTTTGTTACTATCTTGTTTATGGTTGTGTCCTCATTAATATCTTTGGCAAAACCTCACTTTCAAATGACCTTCGAACCCCTTCTGATCTACCGGCGCCAGCGCAACTCAGTCCTCAGGCTTTTCATGTAGCGCAGCACAGAGGTACCTTTTCAGCTGAGCAACGCGCCGAAGAGTGGCTTTGGATGGAATTATCGATGAATTATCGGAATGATGAAGATTGGCTGGAGGCCATCGCTAGTAGGAACAAGAAGCTATTAGGGGCTCCTGGCATCGCTACTAGGAACAAGAAGCTACTAGGGGCTCCTGGCATCGCTACTAGGAACAAGAAACTACTAGGGACTCCTGGCATCGCTAGTAGGTTGGAGGCCATCCCTTCTAGGTTGGAGGCCACCGCTCAACGCATCTTCTTACATTGGCTCCACATGTCTCTGGAGTTCTTCAGATGGACTCCAGACTCTGGCTGGCCCGAAAAAGACTAACACATCCACCAAAACACATACGTAGACCAGTGATACGGCCCTTGCGCCACATGCTGGAACAGTAATGGCAAGGAGAACTGCCGGTTGGTAGCTCTTGAACCTTGACTTGTTTGCACGAATGGTGGATTTCAGGAACACATTTCTTCAGTTTGGAGTGTCCCCGCTTGTAAGACATCAGACCAGTTTTAAACCCAGCAAACCTTCCGGGTGCTTCAGTTTCTTCAGCCGACTTTCTGGCTCTCGAAACCACAATATCACGGAATTTGACAACCTTCTTGCAACGCGACAAAACGTATCAATGACACAAACGCTCCAATTTCTGTGCGACTCTGCGTAGTGGCTCTGGCTCACCAGCCACAGGCCATCAAGTGAACGACCCACATGAGGCCAACGCAAAGATTCATCCTCAGGACGCACGCAAGGATTCTTTCGCTAGTAGGTTGGAGGCCATCGCTAGTAGGTTGGAGGCCATCGCT